CAAGATTCGTCCACCGTACGGGGTGGGTTGGACATGAAAGGAGGGCTTGCAATTCCGAGGTCTTGGAGTCCTCGTCCATAGAATACGCCACATACGCAAAGAAAAGTGACGAACAGAGGCCTCACTTGCAAGATAATAATTAAAATACGCTAAAACGCTGTTTTGTATGTGCATGTGATCATGAAACCATATTATATTCACTAAGCTTTTTGCTTATACTATACATGTATATATCTCAGGTGTCATTTGTCAGTAGACGAGTGAATGAAGAAAGACGGGACTATGTTTTTGAATCATGCTTGATTAGATATTTTAATTAGCATTGATTATGTTAAAGTATTTTACGCTTCCGCAATTATGTAACTAATTATGTTAAACATATTATGTGTGTTTGAAATTTTAAGTTCGTATTTTTGTTCAAGACATAAGTTATTAAGAATGACGTCACGGCACTCGAAAGAATGAAAAGAAAAAAAAAATCGGGCCACGACACCGTAGTGTGTAGGTCTTGGTATCCTTTTTTATGTTTCAATGTTGTTGCTTACTTCTGACCCATTTTTTCAAAGTCTGCCACTACCTTTCTTGTTTTCAAGTTTCCTTCATCCTTTTTCTCTTGCACACTTTGCACGAATCGGGTATTCACGGAAGCAAACGCTCTACTTCCCCCCAACCAAGGTAGTCATGGATTGGAACGTTGGGCAAAAAGGAAATGTTGCATTTATGATGGGCTTTTTTGTAATATGCAGGTGAAGAAAATAGTGAGACCAGGTTGTTCTTATGAAGTGTTGAAGACTGCCTTGAGTTTTATGTCATCACTTGCAGCAATTCTCTCGCATATGCCCCCACAAAAACTTCATGCATCACTTTGAAGAAAAACCCCTATCGGGTTCATGAAATTATCGGTAATTTTGGTTTTTTTAGGTCAGTTCAGAATATTAGGAATGTAAAAAAAGAGAAATTTGATGTTTATGTGTGTACTGGTTGTACTTGGTATTTGTATGTCAGTGGTATCCAAAATTTAGTGTTAATGATTGTTTTCTCTATTGCATTAATGATTTATACTTATACTCTTGATTATGAAGAGTTCTATTTAAAATGATTCATAAGATAGTTCTTTTGAGAACTCTTTAAACCGTGATCTCTGAGAACTGGTGTATCAGATGCTGTTATATATGACTTTTTTTTAATCTATGGTTATAATTTTAACATATATTTGTTTCACATGTAGTAAGTTCACAATGTGAACTTTTATAGCGTGTTTATGAAACAAAAAGTACACGTAAAGAATTTCACATTGTGAACCGAATACATATGAAACAAATGTATGTTAATCAATACATTAAATTAATATATTTATATGGAAAAATAATGTGAAACAAAATTTTGAAGTATAATTTCTTATGAATCTTATAAATTTTGGAGTTCTCATATTATTAAACCTTTGAGATGATATAGATATGTGCTAATGTGTGCATGATTTTATATCTCCAAGTTATTACATTAATGATTTGTATTTAACATTTGACGAATGTCAAATGATAAAATTTTACAAATGCAATTAGAGAAAAGGCTCTGATCAACTGGTAATTGGTAACAACCACGAGCTACTGTGTTATCAGTTATGTAACAAGAAGTTGAACAATGACCGAGGAAGAAAGCAACAAGAAGAAGATTAAGAGAGAAGGTTGCAGAGACAATTCAATGAAGGTTTGTTTATCATACGATTTGGGTGTGATAATCATATGATAATCCATTGATGATTATTACAATCACATGATTACCATTACCCCAATCACACGCTTATCACTACTAGTAACCGATTATGATTCGTATGTAGGTTCGATTACAATATCTTCAATTCGATTAGGTTTCACAATTACACGATTACTACAAGAATTCCAACTACAATCTATTGGTTCGACTAGGGTTGACTGTTCGATTCGGGTGTGATAATCATGTGATAAGCTAATGACAAAGAGAATAGCAAACGATTTTCACATCAATCGATTATCACAAAGTTATCATATGATTAAATCTTGTTTGATCCTAACCTGCAGTCTTATTATAAAGAAGTTTTTTGTTATTAATTGCAATTCCACCATACTTTTTCCTGTTTCAATCCTGTTTGCTAGAACAGAGATGCTCTATTGTCAACAGAAGTTGAAACATTTTCTTGTTTTATCTTCTGCGGTCACTGGATTTACTGCTCTATTGTCTCGATAGTGTATCGATTAATTTTGTTCTATCATAACCTGCAGACTCATTCTAAAGAAGGTTTGCTAATAGTGAGTGTGATAATCGTGTGATCACACTTGATGATCAATCCGGAAGTTTGATATAACCACCAAATTTTTCATCACAATCATTTTGTATCCATTGAGTATGATACCAGTGTGATAATCGTGTAATGCGCGAACCTAATAAACCAAAACAATGTGATCAGTCGGGTATAACCGTGTGATAATCGTTTGATAATATATACATGATTGAGATGTGATAATTGTGTGATTGTGAAATCTAATTTAATCGAACAGATTGTAGTCGAACCCAAATACGAATCGTATCATGGGAAAATTGTTTGATACTCAATTTCGTCATTGCATTATCACATGATTATCACACACAAATCGTTCAATGGAGTTGATAATTTACCTTAGTCGAACCAATAGATTGTACTCGAAATTCTTGTGATAATCATGGGATTGTGAAACCTAATCGAATATGATGGAAGAAAACGATGCACGTTCAACTCAACATGATCGATCCCAAGCTAAAATGATAGGATAATTCAAATTAATTAAAATAAAATAAAATAAAAATTATAAAAAATATCTAATTACATTACTGTCCTTATTGATTTATTTTTATTTAATATAACTTAAATTATTGATTATAAGGTTTGGGATTAGTAGGTTGTTCTCGCATTCTCGTACATCACAGTTATTCTTGTTTGAACCTCCACACACACACACACACACACACATATATATATAGGGTATATTTCAAATGCAATCATGTTCATTTGTACAACCAATGCAACCCAATTAATTGAGATATTTATAAATATGATGAGAGTTCATTTATTATGATTTGAATATTTATATAAGATGAATAAAGTTCATTAATTATGATCAATATTTTATATTAGGAAACAATCAGAACATTTATGAAATCACATATTCATCAAATTAAATGGACGGTTGAGATTGAGTTGTATTGGTTATGGTATTTCCATATTTGGTCGAAACTATTTGGAAAAAATGACTTGGCTTCTTCCAATATTTCTCTTTGGCGGTCATAAAACTTCAAAAAGGAGATACTAGACCACATCTTTAAGGATTTATCTTTTAAATTCATGATCAAACAAACCACCAATAACATTTATCAACCACTTATTCATATTCTCATAATCCCAATTTTGATCACATTAACAACAAATTTGGGACAAAAGAAAAACAATTACTTCCATTGATGATTACATTGTATAATTCCATCTGATTTCATACAATTACGACTTGAGCTTTTGGCAACATTTTTCGAACCAAGTCAAGACTTGAGCTTTTGGCAAATCGAGTCAAAGCTTAGGGCAGCAGCCAGCAAGCCATATATCATGGCACAAATAAAAAATCAAACCAAACACACCCAATATGGTTCCATCCATATGGGAATAAGATATATGCAGACCGTCCAAAAATACAAAACGGTTGTTTTTATAAAGTCAAAGCACAAATCTGGTATATAATTTTAGGTTCTAGTTTGCAAGTTCTGTAAATTTTGCTGCTAATTGGAGACCCAAGATGTTTCTAGTTGTGGTCTTTGCTATGGAACTCCTAAATTTTTCCCTAATAGCTCACAAAGTACATACAAATCTTAAAGTTAACTAATAGTGTGTTTGACCTTCAAAGAAGTCAAACTGCACTTCTTTCCTGGAACAGGGGTATAAAAAACCCAAATGCATGCAACAAAAGATCAAGGGTGCTCCAAACAACTAGCCAAGGCCACCAAGTCTTTGCAAGCATCTTTACTGAAATCTAAATGACCCATATCAAATATCAAGTTGAAAAGTTGTCCATTTTGCCCCAAATGCAAAATGTGCAATTTGGAAGAGAGTGCTTCTATTCAAGTTGCTATAAATTCAATAATTCTAAGCATTAGACACAAAAAGGCACCACAAGATCAAAGAGTAAAGCTACAGGCTGATAATTATGAGATCAAATGGAATAAATAAAGCAGACCAGAAGAAATGGGATGTCAAAATTGATAATGTTTAACTAAAAGTAGAAAGAACTTGAGGCATTTGTGTAGCAAAGATGTATAACTAAAGAGAAACCGTACGTCTATAGAGTTTTTCGTCATCACTCTCCTCTTCCTCATCAGATACCATCTGATTATGATCACCCGGAAGCTCCAACTTCCCACCCATCACAAACGATGGCCCTTCTATTTCCGTCTCAATATAATCCGCATACAATCTCTCTTCAAATCTCTGATCACTACAATTCAAGAACCAAGATAAAGAACTCCTAATCCCCTTATGCTGTAATCTTTGGTACCTTGGTTTGATTCTTGATTCCAGACCATAAGTGAAGAATTCAGGAAACTCTACCAACTCTTTCAATGGCCGTCCCATTTCGCTCTTGAAGAAGTAATAGCTATTCTTCATTATACCAACTTGCAAAGCAACTAATTGTGGGCATTTCACAATCATCTTAGCCACATCTTCGGTTGAGATACCCCTTCCAACAAGAAATTCAACTGGCTTCATTATCACTTTTTGGCTAAGGCTGACTAGTTGAGGCATTCTCTCAATCACACGAGCAAAACCTTCTGGATCAATCTTAAGCTTCAAATTGAAGAAATATTGTTGGCTTGATAACTTAGCCTTCAAAGGGAGCCCAAGAATTTGTGGGTATTGAGCAATAATGGAAGCAAGTGCTTCCCTTTGAATCCCAAAGCTGATCAAACAATCCACATTTGGTCTAACCATTTCCTCAAGATCATACCCAATAACATACGCCCGTTTCTCAAACATTCTTGCCAATACTTTCTTTGGTAAACCTAAAGAAATTAGATACTCAACCAAAGGTTTGATCATAGTCCCAACTYTCATCCCTAAAAAATATGGATATTGAGTCACCATGGGACCAATATCTCTTGGATTGACCCCAATACTTACCAAATATGCAACAGAAGTACTCATTGTTCCTTCTAATTTGAACCCTAATAGCTCAGGGTACTTCATCAATACATACCCAATATCTTGTCGCTCGACGTCTAATCCACGAAGAAACCTAATCACTGGCACAAGCTCCACAACTACACTAGCATGAAGAACTTGTGGATATTTTTTCACAAATTCACCCATTCTTGATCTTTGAACTCCAACTTTCTCCAAATATCCCAATACTGGAATGATATTTTTCCTTACACTACAACCAAGCATTAATGGGTATTCATTAATATCATCAATCGTTAACCCGATCTTTTGCAAGAACTCAACACGTTCACGCATCACATCAACTGTAGAGGGTAGTTCTAAGTCCTCCAATTCATCTGGGATTATGCCTATGGATTTTAAGTAATCACAGATTATTACCCGAGATACAAGTTTTTCTTTTCGGCCTTGAACAACACCCCATGTAACTGTTGGCATTTCATATTCGGGGAATTTGGAGGATCGGGTCGAAAAGGGTTGAAACGATAAAACCCTAAACTGGGGTTCTTGAGAGGGTTTAGGGGGAAAGATAATACCTTTTGATTTGTTGGATGTAAAGTGAAGTGGGTTGATGAGAAATGATTTGAAGGACTGTTTTCTTCGAAGAAGAAACATCATTTCAGCTAAAGAAAAAGAAATCAGAGAGAAGTTCAAAAAGGAAATGTACTCACAAGACCCTTGTTAAAGTGGGACTGAATCACAGAGCCGGCCACATCAGCGAAATAATACTTCATCCAGCTAATAGCAGTGGTATGAGAATCAGGAGAAACATTCTTTCCAGGTAGAGGATGAGATGGGAATGGGGGCAAGGATAAGAGTTGTCGAGGCTTGTAGCCAGCTTTAGGACGACCCAAATGAGTTATGTTGTTAGATACTCGGATAACAGATTCACTACAATCAGGTGGTGGAGGAGACACTCTGGAGAAATGCCTCRCTGTAAAAGGCATGCATTGACGACGAGAGGTTTTGAGCCACATTGTTGAGCATATTGCCTGAACATAGACAAATCAAAATTATCTATACTGCTGGAAAGATGTAGCATAAGTAACACTAGCAGTACTGATTAAAAGATACTTTATAATCGGCAATTGTGCCAGAAACCAAGTGAAGATCAAAACAAGGAGACTAATTTGACAATCATGATTAACCATATTTATGATTTCTTTATACTTGACATGAAAACAGACACTTCAGCAAGTACACAAATCAGCAGCAAATGTACTTCAAGAACAACGATTTTCCTACAAATCCTTTTAAACAGGTGTAATAGAAAACAAATGTATGCAATAATCAGCAGATGTATGCAAAAATCAGCAGATGGCTTCTAACTATATTACCTATGCTAATACGAAAAAACCAAGGTTGTATGATGTTGCAACCAATGGAAAACCACACGTAGATTTACTGCAATCAAGTTGAAGGTGTAAAGCATAACATGATAAAGGAACACATGAAATCAAGAAACCCTTGTTGGTTATTTCAGTATTTGGGAGATTATGCGACCTGGATTTTACTAAGAGGATGTTTACCAAACACTTACCCGGTAAGCATCTAGGCATAAAATTTAACACTATCATTACTTACTGGGTAAGATTTTAATCAACAAAAAACGGCTTTCTATTCAACAATTACCCGGTAAGAACAGACAGTGGTAAGAGTCATTGCCCTCACTTACCGGGTAAGACTCTAGTCCTTATCTCGCATTCACCGGATAATATTCATGGTTCTTTTCATGTTCATCCGATAAGTTACTTTTCATGTTCATCCGATAAGGTAATGTAACTTGGTAAGCGCTTACCCAAGTAAGCATTTGGTAAACGGCCCCTAAGATTGTGTCCAAATTCAACTACCTATAACCACAAACTCAGCAGGAAGATTCAGCAACTGAGAGAGCATTCAGGTAAATTAATACACACAAAATCTTGAGCAACTCAAGTGAATTTTAATATAAAAAATCAACCCAAACCAGTCATTTAGGGTGCGTTTGGTGCGCAGACAGGACAGGACAGGACAGCTGTTCAGCGTTTGGTAAGACATAACAGGACAGGACATACTGGTTAAAATGATCAATTTACCCACAGTGAGCTGTTTAGTGTTTTTTTTCACTAAATAATCAATATAAATGTTCCAACTATATTCATCAATATGCATCTATTCTACATAAAACAGTAAGCATTTTTATTTGAAATGATAAATCAATTGAAGCTAAGCATTTAGCTGATTACATTGTTATGAGAAACAAATCAAACAGTAGGTCTTTCATAAAGGTAAAGAAAACTGTCATCCATATCCTTATTCATAGATACAGTTGATCAAGTGTTCTTCTTATTTGTTGTCACCATATTGTTTACACATGATAACTCAATCTTTCTTAACAATGTGCGAGATTTCCTTATATTTGCTGCCTATTTGGATTCATGAGTCATTCAACAACCAGTGTTGGTATTAAATATTTGTGGGTCTGTTAGAACCAAACCAGATGGAAGCAACAATACAGAGGGTGCGTTTGGGTTCCTCAAACTAAGAAAAGGCCAATTTAGGGTTCAAGCAAACAAGCCAATTTAGGGTTCAAGCAATCGATTTCGGGTTCAAGCAAACAGCCGATTAGCAACAAAATCGAGATGAAGCAATCGTGTACCTGAGTATGGAGAGAGGGATGTCGCCGTCGATGGGGAGGAGAAGCGATGGAGGCGGACTGTGTGTATGGAGAAGGGACGTCGCCGTCGAGAAGGGAACTCCCGTCGCCGTCGAGATGGAGAAGAAGAAGGTTAGGGGTGCGATGGAGTGGCGGACTGTGTGTATGGAGAAGGGATGTCGCCGTCGAGAAGGGAACTCCCGTCGCCGTCGAGATGGAGAAGGAGAAGGAGAAGGTTAGGGGTGCGATGGATGGAGGGTGCGATGTGGGGAAGAAACGGGGAAGGGGTAGTATGGTAAAAATGTTTGTGTTCCTATTAGTTCCAGGGGTAAAACCTTTGTCCAGGTTAGGTTAGTTCTAATTAGTTCTATATTAAGTCATATTAAACGTAGGACAAACGTGTTCTGTCATGTCCTATCCTACCTTATCCAGCGCATCAAATACACTCTTAGAGTCGTCTGAAAAATCTTTGTATAGAGAGTGGTGTTAAGATTGATAAGACATAAAAGTATGGTGCGCAATATAAATCAAACTAGAGGGGCGTTCAAATACAACCCCCTCTAGATTATATAAAAGGAAAGTTTAATTGCCCCCTATCCCTTACTAAGGGGTCGTTTACCAAACGCTTACTCGGGTAAGTGAACACCAAGTCATATTACCTTACTGGATGATTATGGTAAGGACCAATAATCTTACCCGGTAAGAGCGAGACAGAGACCAATGGGCCGTTTACCTAAACACTTGCCCCGGTAAGCACTTACCGGTAAAATTCAACACTATCGCTTACTTACCGGACAATATTTTATTCATTAAAACGCATCGTATGCAACAGTTTATCCCGGTAAGCGCTAACCATGGTAAGAGTTATCGTCCTCACTTACCGGGTAAAACTCTCGATTCTTGTCTTCTCTCTTACCGGGTAAGATTTTTATTCCTTGCCATATTCATCCAGTAAAGAAAAGTGACTTGATAAACGCTTACCCGGATAAGCGTTTGGTAAACGACACCTAATTGCATTCCTACACTCCATGTAATCATTTTTTTTTTGTTTTCTTTTTATTGTCTTTTTCTTTTTTATACAAATTTTCTTTTAGTTATGTTATTTAATTATAAATATGTTATTATTATGAATGTTATTTTTTATTCTGTAAATAAATTATTACTAAAAAATATTATTTTTTATCATAAT